TTTTTTTTTGCTCTTTCAAAGTGTAATGGTATAAATGATCACACCTAGGCTGATTAAGAAACATGAGAATTGATACAAGAAACTAAAATATACTGCAGTCCACAAAACCAAAATAATAATAATAATAATGCATTTAAATTACAACCCTGTCTACATAAATAAAAAATAATAACAAATCTATGAACAACACAATAAGAATTCAAAATCTTCAATGTTTTTGGTAACACATGAATGGAGAAAAATGTACAATAGTTCCCCCTAGTGGTTACAATGGACAGCAGAGAATTGATAGTAGGCCCTCATACTAAGAGCCGGTTCCTATACCCAAAATTGCGGTGTTGGCTACTTGAGAGCATGAGACAGGAAAGTGTACAAGACTGTCCCTTCTGAAAAATCCCAAAGCACATGAAATCCACATTAATAACACTCTAACACTGCTTCAGGAACTTTCCAGTGCAGGCTAAATTAATTAGATATTTACTATAACTTGATAGTAAAATGTAAAGTTTGGGAAATTTGGTGTTGTAAAACCTTTATACATTGTGTTTGTTACATAGAGACTGAACAGACTCTTTATTTAAAGAGTATTGAAAATCATCATCATGTGTAAATAAAGCTCTTGCATTTTGTAAGTGTGTCCAATCCGGTTATCAAAAGTTATTCGTACACTTGCGGTCTTTGCACCCACTTGAGCACTTGGGCCAAATACAGGAAATACGTCATGCAAGCAGACAAGGTGTGAATGCCACAAGAGTGGGTATTGGGACAGGCCCTTAATTCTGCAAGGGTATTGGATGACAGGAAGAGGAAATGTCTGAATTCAACACAGTCACTCAACGGAGGAATTTCATTAGTTTAATTTCCTTGATATCTGGACGAAACAGATGACGTGTGCTGGTTAAGATTTCCCTCTTGTAAACCTGATTCATGTTGTTTGGCTCCATCTTGAACACTTTGGAATAAATTAAAGCATTCCGTGTCACTGGAAAACGTCTAACATGGTATTAAAATGGAAGTCATTTATTAAATATACTCATGAACTCAACCAATCAGCATGTTCAGCGCCCAAGTCCCACTCCTAAAAGTTCCTGAACATTGAAAAAGCACTATCTTTGCGAGCAGAGACTTTCTGAGGGGGACATTTTCCCCCAGAACATCATTTAGACCCTGGACCCCGAGTCCCACCCCAAAGTCCCTAGTCCCACGGTCACTCCAAAGTCCCTAGTCCCACGGTCACCCCAAAGTCCCTAGTTCCTGGGGAAAGTTCCTGCGGTGGAAGCATGGCTTAATAAGTCCGAAGTTAAGTTCTTTGATACCCCTTGCTTATTAATTCAGGATCCTGTGATTTCCAGTCGTCTTTTCTCCCTCAGTTCTCTCGGGACAGGTGAGGTCCAGCGTCTCTGGTACCTGTGCTTGTTCTCGACCTGCACTTCCCTCCTCTTCTTCCTCCACAGCCTCCAACTCTTCATCCACACCCTGGAATGTTTCCTGCAAGCTGTGGGTGATGTCGTTTAGACTGCTGGACCCCATGCTCTTGTTTAAAGAGTTCCCGTCCTCAAGCAGCGGCCCGTGCCTCCGGGTGGTCCTGCGGTTTCGGCTGTGGCGTGATTGGTTGCCGTGAAGTGTGCGTCTGCGATGCCATTGGCTGAGAGACTGGTGTGCTTCTGCACTGAGCTGCCGCTTCGCTAGACGAGGCTGGTAGCTGCTGATATAAAAAAGGGCAGCGTAGAGAGACGTAATGTAGTACCCACCTGAGAGAAAGATGGAGAAAGAGGAGCAAGTCATGCACAGCAGTGTGGGAATCTTTATATGCTACACCCTTCCTGGGCCAAAACACCATTAACGGTCATTCATTTGAGTATTCGAATGCAATAAATTAACTTTTTCAAGCAACAAATATATCACAAAAAACTCCATCCACCCACCCGCCCACCCATCCATCCATCCATCCATCCATCCATCCATCCATCCATCCATCCATCCATCCGCAATCCACCCATCTGAATCCACCCACCCACCTATTCACCCACCCATCCATCCATCCATCCATCCACCCATCCATCCATCCATCCATCCATCCATCCATCCATCCATCCATCCATCCATCCATCCACCCATCCAACCATCCACCCATCCATCCACCCACCCACCCACCCATCCATCCACCCACCCACCCACCCAACCATGCATCCATCCATCCACCCAACTATGCATCCATCCATCCATCCACCCACCCAACCATGCATCCATCCAACCATCCATCCACCCATCCATCCACCCAACCATGCATCCACCCACCCACCCAACCATGCATCCATCCATCCAACCATCCACCCACCCACCCAACGATCCACCCATCCACCCATCCATCCATCCATCCATCCATCCACCCACCAATCCACCCAACCATGCATCCATCCACCCATCCATCCACCCAACTATGCATCCATCCATCCACCCAACCATGCATCCATCCATCCACCCAACCATCCATCCATCCACCCATCCATCCACCAACCATGCATCCACCCACCCAACCATGCATCCATCCATCCACCCATCCATCCACCCAACCATGCATCCATCCATCCAACCATCCATTCACCCAACCATCCATCCATCCATCCATCCATCCACCCAACCATGCATCCACCCAACCATCCATCCATCCATCCACCCAACCATGCATCCACCCACCCACCCAACCATCCATCCACCCACCCATCCACCCACCCAACCATGCATCCATCCATCCACCCATCCATCCATCCATCCATCCATCCATCCATCCATCCACCAATCCATCCATCCATCCATCCATCCATCCATCCATCCATCCATCCATCCATCCATCCATCCACCCAACCATGCATCCATCCAACCATCCATCCACCCAACCATCCATCCATCCATCCATCCATCCATCCATCCATCCATCCAACCATCCACCCATCCATCCATCCATCCATCCATCCATCCATCCACCCAACCATGCATCCACCCACCCACCCATCGCATTTTTGTTGTACGGGTAATAATTAATAATTGTTTAGATCAGTGGTACTCAACGGGGGGCCTCCACAAATTCTTATTATTCTTATCAAAGTCTTATTATTTACATTTAGTTATATTAACATAATCATAATGAAATATGCTTAAAAACATTAAAAACAAAGAAGCACCAACTTTCAGCGTGGACAGGACCCACAACACTCCAGTATCAGTGTAATTTACATAAAACAGGGATGATCATGCTGATGTGATAGCAGTTTACCAGTGTGGTTTTGCTAGTTAGAGAGTTAGTGTATCGCTAGCATGAAATTCTTAAGGACCACTTTGCCACAATATAAATCTGTTTGAAAATCAGCAGTTACAGTCAGTGTTGGGTAGTAACTGATTACATGTAATCTGGATTATGTCATTCCACTAAATACTTGTAATTAGATTATATTGCATTTTAAAATACTTGTAATCAGACTATATTTACTTTTCATCGATTACAGGATTAAATGATAATCTCACAATGGCAGTAAATTATTCATAATTATATAATAATTCTTCCACCACGTGCGTGACGTCATAATAATTCTTCCTACTACTTTTTAAAAAATCTTTTAAATTGTCCTTTCTAAAACAAAGCCCACTGTTTATATCAGTTCAGAGGCTCTTTCAGGTTTGTTGAATCGCACACCAAAAACAGCCACTAGTCATGTGACTATCACTGAGAGCTGAGAGCCACACAGCAGTTGATCACAGGACTTACAGAAATAATTTCACTTTGAGAAGTGTTTTCTCAACACTGCAACATTGCACACTGAATCACCTCCTGGCAAACACATTCATTATTATTTGAATTATCACCCAGTGAGTCATTTAACCATGTATTTCTGTTTTTTTTGGAAGGCTTTTGTCTCTCAAACACATTCAAATATACAGATTCACATCATTAGATTTTAATTCACGTTTTAAGTTAATAAGTTAGGTTAATAATAAAATTAAGTCAATAATAATAATAAATAATAATAATATTAAGGCCCCCCTGTGGAAAATATCAAGTTTTAAATGTTGTTTATATGTCTATGTGGTGTTTTTAATATGCTTTAAGACAACCCATGTGCAAATTCATAAGTCGACAACATTGCTGAGTATTTTCTCCTTAAAACTGCAGTGAACCAAAGACAGTCTCAAAAACACGGTTTGAAATCGCTGGTGTTTCTGACGTCAAGCATTCCCGAAAGCATCGTTAGCCAACTATGGTCGCAAGTTCCGTCATTATCAGCAGTTCAACAAGTCGGTGTTTTCCGAAACCTTCCAACGAACATATTCGCAAACAGCATCGCAAAGTTGTGTGTTTGGAACGACAGCTCTCGAGCTGCGGTTAGAAGCATAGTTTCTAGATTGCATGACGTGGACTTAATTAATCCTTATCTTGAGCAAAATAAGCAAGCTGACATTCAGTACAACTGTGTCTTTTATTTAGAATACATTCAAATGTCATTTACGTCTTTGAGTTTGTCAAGATATTTAAAGCACCGAGTTTGAAGACTGCGCAAACGTGCTCTAGTGTGTAAGAACGAGCCTATGAGTGAATCTGGAAATAAAGCGAAATAACTGAGAAAAATGAGAAATATTCCTCAGATGCATGTCTGTAATTTATATCAAAACATCTAGCATTAATTCGATCTCAAACAGTTTCATTAAAAGAAGTTATTACTCCACCACGTGCGTGACGTCATAAACCAACATGGTTGAACGACCTATTTGCGACAATATGGTTTCGGGAAACAGTCGTGACTAGTGGATTTCCTCAACGATGCATCGTACTATGGTAAAGAAGCATCGAGTTACGTCGTTGTACGGGAAACACACCCCAGGTCAACGTGTGATCGTCAACGAGTGGATCTCTGAGCTGCTGTGAGTGAGTGGAGGCGGGGCTCATTTGCATATTCATAGAAACGCGTATACTAAATGAGGCAAGGGTGTCGAGATACATTCAAGCCATTTTAAGGCATGAATAATTGTTTTTTCAAGGAAAAAACGTTTAAATATTTGCTAAATTCCAACTCTTCTGAAGCCATACGATTTAAAGGTATGGAAAAAAAATGCGTAAACAAGAAGTCCAACATATTAAAGGAACAGCATAGTCCATAGTAATGGTCAATGGTATGATTCAGTACATGTGCAATCCATCAATCCAAACAGAAAAATAAGAATGAAAACACATAAGTATAAAGTGCATTTAAGGACACACTTCAGGTTAGTCGCAAATAAAGGGATTGGGATTGTCCTGCCACTGAGATGAATCTGGATTGATCTCTACAGATGATATAGACCCTCTCTGTTCAGGCAAACAGCCATCGATTGAGCCAGAAGCTGACATGTTGGACAGAGTGATGCTCTTTAAAGAGTTACAGTGTTTGCCTTCATCAGGAAACCAACCATAAAACCAGTGGTGTGAACACTGTTGATGAGTGTGGATGTGTGTGTATACCCTACCCTCTCCTTGTAGTTGCATGGGGTCCAGCAGCTCCATCATGTAGTCAGTGTCCACCTGTAGTATAGCTAAATCACTGCGCAGCAACACCCACGTCAGGCACGGGAGGAAATCATCCGCCCCGAAGACCGTTCCTGACATAAAACAATCAACATGTTCAAATCTCCTTCAGCTTGAGGACTCGGGTATTAAAATGTACGAAGTGCCTTGCAGTGATCATAGCTCCATAGGCATGCAGTGCTGGGTAGTAACTGATTACATGTAGTCTGGATTACGTAATCAGATTCCCAAAATTACGGATAAATTGTTATGATTATTCTTAGTTTCACCCTCATGGACTTTTAGTTTGTATCCTTCAGTCACATCTAGGCTATTATTTGTTCTCAGTTTCCCACCACTTGTTTGTCTCCTAGGTTACTTATTGGCTTCTAGCTTGTTACTTATCAGTTCCCTCGTTTATATCACATGTATAAATCCAATCATCTTTGTTTTCACTTAGTATATATATATATATATATATATATATATATATATATAAATATGCCTGTGTTTTAGTTATCATTTGTCGGTTCTCATTAATGTTTTAGTTCAGTTTGGTGTTGTTATCTTTCTGTCAATAAACTCTCACTTTTCTCTTTTATCTTCGTCTTTGCATCCTGCCTACATCACATTCAGCCAAAGTGTGACAATTATATTGCATTTTAAAATACTTGTAATCAGACTTCAGTTCAGATACCTTTTTATTGATTCCATGATATCCTCACAGTAAATTATTCATAATTCATTGATTCTCCCTACTACAAGCAGGTCCCTTCTACTTAGGGTAACACATTTTAATTGTTTTTTATTTATTTAATTTAATTTAATTAAATTTTTGTTTTTAAATAAATTATTATTAAATTAAATTATATATAATTATATATACAATTATATATAAATTATTAAATATGATTTAATTACTTTTCATTAAACTCACGGACCCCAGTCTGAGAAACCCTGACGTAATGTAATATTTAATGCATTTCATGTTGTTGATAACAAGTGGAATATATTTTCTTTCTCTTTGTATGTTTATATCAATATGGTACAAGGTTATCCTATTCAAATCAATGTGATAAACGAGTTAGGTCCAAAGTAATCAAAAAATAGTCAAGAATATATGATTCATCTTAAATGTGTAATGTAATGGATTATGTTACCAACTACAATTTTTGGCATGTCATTTGAAATCAGTAACTGACTAAAAATATTAAGTAATTTTCCCTAGCACTACCTATTGAATTGTTGGTTTCTCAGCACAGGACACATCTCTGTATGTGTGGAATGGGGAGTATATAAACAATTTGAAAGGAAGTGGCAAGTTTGCATTGCGTCTCTACAGTAGTTCACTCACCAGGCTTAGCATTAGCATTCATGCTGTGGTAGATATTCTTGCAGACTTTGAGCAGGGTGTCGACCTTTTTGCTAGGCGAGTAGGCCTCGTGCATTGTGGTCCATCGATGCTGGATCTTCTCCATCATGCTGGAGTCCGGCACCCCGGCTCCGGCTGCTCCCTCCAGCTCCTCCGGGCTCCGGTTCTCCAGCGTGCTCTTGTTGGCCTCTAAACGCTGCAGAGTGCCGTCATCCCTGCGCGCCGTCTTCAGATACACGTACAGGTGAGTGTAAACTGGTTTTAAAGCCACTTTATGCAAGGCAAGCTCCAGCATAGCATCTAAAGGCAGAGAGAAACAACAGATTTGTCAATAAATTTGGTTTTAGTGGAGGCGAATCGATAAGTATCAAAACTAGCAGAACTTTTGCTAAGTGTGAACATAGAAAGCTCTCGTTTATTGTGTAGGCATATCTATTATGGAGAATGGAGCAATTCAATTGGGTTACACTTTATTTTGATGGTCCATTTTAAACATTCTACTAAATATAAGTAACTTTGCAACTACATGTCAACTAACAGTCATTAGAGTATCAGTAGACCATTAGGTTTGGGTTAGTCGAATAAGGCCTTGTTTACATCTGATGTTAAGATGCGTTTTGGTTAATCGGATCACAAGACGACGAGGCAGACACATTCCTGATGTTTTAATCCGTCTCTTTTGTCCACTTTCAGCCACTTCTGTCCTGATTTCTACTAGGGGAGGGTCTATGGGCGGGTAAATGTATGGGCTTTTTCAGATCGTTCGATCTAATGGACGAAATAAGCTCGCGCAATTTACATATGAACGCACAGAACATGACAGAAAAACATATGGAGAGCAGCAGCTTTAGTTTCTGCTCTGACAGCCGCAAGACCAGCCGAACACTGCGAGTGTGTGTTAGAAATCAGGAATGGTGAGAGAAAATTGTTCTTGGTATGTTTTTTGTCTTCACACCAAACTTGTGTCTTCAGCCGACAGTTTAAATCCCGTCTGGCTAGCGCGCCTCCCATAATGTTTACGCATTAGCTCAGTAGGCGGAGAGTCTTTTGCGGCTGTTTGAACACGGTCGAATGCGTTTTCGACTACTTCTGGAAGTGGTGGAAAGTGGACAAGCTCAAAACGTTTTAAAACCCCGTTTACACCTGTATTTAGCGCCGTCCACTTGTGATCCGATCAACCAAAACTCATACCAGGAGTAAACAGGGTCTAAGTTGATATGTAGTTGCAAAGTTACTTTTAGTCAGTAAAATGACTGTTAGGGGAAAACTAGACTTGACAGCTTGACTGGACTGGACTGGACTTGACTAGAAGGGAAACCACACAAAGGGAACATAGATGAACCCTGACAGTTATCTCCTATACATCCACAGGTCATACCCAGCTCAAAATCAGGAATGTCTCCAAAGTTGTCTGTGATGCTTTGTATCTCTGGACAATCAAACAGCGTTTCCCTCAGATTAGTGAGAGCCGAGCGCACGTCCTGCAGCATCTCGCTGGAAGTCACTCCAGGAGCGGCTCCACCCGCAAACCGAGTCTCCTCCACAAACCCCCGGACCGCCTCTGCAAAAGCCCCAGCCCTGCGCTCGGCCATCTCCTGGACGCGCTTGCTCAGTCTGCGCTGAGGAGACACAAGTCCACCTAGAGCCTGACCCACTGCCGAGAGGCGGTTCTTCATCTTATCTGCCAGCTGGAAGCGGGGCGAAGGCAGGGAGGGGCTTGAAGCCGGCTCGAACTCCTCCTCTATGCTGCTGACTGACAGCGAGTCCAGCTCTAAGCAGGGCGGTTGAAGCAGAGAGGGGGGCAGTGGGGAATTCAGCCATATCTTGTCCTCTATCCAGGACACGCGGTGTGGCGACTGGGGGAGAGGGCTCTGAAGGGAGTCTGTGCTTGCTCTTTTTAGGGGGTCTTCCTTGCTGGTGCCACTCGCCCTTCGAAGCACAACTCCACCCGGGGTAGATGGAGAGACTGGTGACGATGATCCTTTGAGAAGAAACAAAGACGTCAATACGTCTAACTTTTCTAACACTTTCTTGCAATTATAAACATTAGCCGCTTTTCCCACCATTGGGCCGAACAGTAATGAATAGTTTCACTTGAGCTTGGTTCAACACGGCACGATTACAAACCGTCCCACAGTGGGGTAACCATGCCCGTACTAGCTGGGCACGAAATGGAACGGTTGAGGTCTGAGTCTGAATTTTCGCATGTTTTTTCGTGTTCGTCATTCGGTGGCTCTGAATTGTCAAAACAGCTCTCAAAATGCTTGCAACGGATGCGAAAAACGCAGAAAATCGAACCTGATCCAAACTTTTTTTTGGATGGGCGGAAGTTTCGGAGGCAGAGTGTAGACGTGATCGACACAACGTGAGGTCGTATTTATTATTTTAACATGCAAAAATTTCGGATGCAAGCATTTTGAAAGGTGTTTTGACAATTCAGAGCTACCGAATGACGAATACGAAAAAAATCATACGAAAATTTCGGACTTATAGTGTGCAAGGACCTTTAAGCAACAAGAACGGTTTGGCCCGAGAGTGGAAAAGCAGCTATTGTTTACTAAAGCTGAAACTATTAAAAATCTTTTTGGTTATTTGAAAATAAGCTGAATTCAAATAAAATATAAATATTTGATGAAAAACGTAAAAATTCTGAAATATTTATATAAAAAAATATAAAAATGACACTTTTTAAACTGAAATAAAAAATGTAATTGAAAACTAAAAATATACAAATAAAAGCTAATTCAAAATACTATAATAGTATATAAATAATACTTGAATTTATATAACTAAAAAAAAAAAGAAAAAAGTCCACCACTACCTTTGTCCTGGTCAAAACTGCTAGAGTTGTCCTCGGCTTGTGTAGATGACCTCGGTTTCAGTCCTCTCCCTTCCCATGCTCGGGTGGTACTCAGCCGCTTGTCTCGCCTCAAGCCGATTGGACGATTGACTGGGCTGGCTGGAGAGTGAGTCAGCCAATCATCCCCATGCTCTTGAAGGTACAAGGGATTGATGAAGCACAGGGCACCATTGGCGGCTGTAACCTACCAACACAGAAATAATTTGAAGATCACGTCTCTATAGAATACAGCCTCAATCATTGGGGTCCAATTAAATCCCAAATTAAAACGAATAGATCCCCATGGACACATTTGTTGTGTTGCTAAATTTCCACTTCCTTGTCCATACCCCATTGGCTGGGTAGATTACTTCAGTCTGCAGTCGGTTGACGTGACAAAAATTGTAGTTAGTAATATCTATTACATTACACATTTAAGGTAATACAATCGGATTACTTTTGAACTAACTCGTTTATCACATTGCTTTGAATAGGATAATCTTGTGCCATTTTGATATGAAAATACAAAGAGAAAGAAAATATATTTTATTAAGTGCATTAAATATTACATTAGACCAGGGTTTCCCAGACTGAGGTTCATGAGTTTAATGAAAAGCTATTAATTAAACCATAAAAAAATAAAACCAATCAAAATGAAACACTTACTAAAAAAGATTAAAATATATATTTTATTTGTTTACCAGCTGGGTGAATCAAAGAATTATGAATAATTTACTGTCATTGTGAGAATAACATGTAATCAATAAAAAAGTAACTGTAGTCTGATTATGAGTATTTAAAAATGCAATAGCAATATAATCTAATTACAAGAACTTAATTTTTGGAATCGTATTACTTAATCCAGATTACATGTAATCAGTTACACAGCACTGGTCATAGTTGCACGCTAAACTGATGTTTGGACTTAAAAACTGATGTTTGCACTTAAAATAAGTCTTGGTTTGACGGATGATGATGGTTTTGATAATGTTTTGTCAGTGTCTAGAAGAGACGTGTTAAATTTCATGAGAACCAGGCAAAGAGGGTTAGAAATGTGGTTACACTTTTGGTTTCACTTTATTTTGAGTCCTTGTAATAACACAAATAAGGACCAAGTAATATTAATTTATAGCATGTACTTACGTAAGGGTTAGGGCTTAGTTTATACTTAGTCACTTGTCGCTAATGCTATCTATGGCTTGGAATAATGGATAATTGACTGTTACTTCTTTTTTTTCTTTTTTTTTCTTTTTTCTTTTTTTTTTCTTAAGCTGGTCCACAGATTGTGAGCAGGACTGGGCTGATTGCTGGATACCAGACTGGTCCACAGAATGTGAGCTGACTTGGGCTGGTTGTTGGATGCCAGACTGGTCCACAGACTGTGATCTGGCTTGGGCTGACAGCAGGCTATCTAACAGTTCCACAAACTGTGGGCTGACTTGGGCTGGTTTTTGGATACCAGACTGGCCCACTGATTGTGAGCTGGCTTAAGTTGGATGTTGGATGTCGGACTGGTACCGTACCGCATGTCGGAGTGGTATCGTACCGCAGATCCCCGTATCCCCCAGCAGGGCAGAACACATATCCCTTCCCTCCCACTAAGTGACATAATTAATCAGCGGGGCCCAGAGAGAATCGAAGTCAGCCGATCGAAGATTGTTAAAAGCAAGCATGGACTCCAAACTGATATGATCCGACAGGTGATTTCTATACTGGTTAATGCTAAGATTATTTTTAGTTTTCCAATTCAAAAGAATAGTTTTCTTTGCAACAGATAATGTGGTGAGGACCATGTGTGCTTTGTCGATCTCCATATTGATATCATTTAAATCCCCTAATATGCATAGTTTTGGGCAAGTAGGTATATTACACTTAAGCCATATTGATAAGTCCTCACAAACCTTAGTCCAGAATCTTTGGACTGGTGTACAAAGCCACCAGGCATGCATGTAATCGTCTGCTGTATTACTTGTGCACTGCATGCAAATATTTGATTGATTAAAACCCATCTTAAACATCCTTTGTCCTGTATAAAAAGTTCTATGGAGGATTTTGTATTGTATGAGTCGTAGATTCAAGCTGTCAGTCATATTAAAGTTGTTTAATATTATTTCTGACCAAAACTGATTGGTGGGATTCAGTGATAGATCCGACTCCCATTTTGCAATTGGTAATGAGATTGTATCATCTATTTTGGAGATGACTCTATATATTTTCGATAGTAGCTTTGGAGTACCAAGGCTCCTGAATTCTGAAACACTTGGTGGGAGTTCCAGGTTTATTTGCTTAAGAGGGAATTTTTTACTTATTACTGCTTTGAGTTGTTGATATTCTAAATATCTGTTATTACTTATCCCATACTGTGAGGTGATTGTTTGGAATGGTAAAAAGTTACAGTTATGGATTAAATGCTCTAAATGTTTAATTCCTTTGTTTTCCCATTGGATAAAATTAATCATATTTCTGTTTAGTGTGATATCAGGATTATTCCATATAGGGGTAAGCCTACATGGGATCATTGAAGAGTCTGTTTTTTTAAGAAATTCCCACCAGGCTGTCAAACAAGTGCTGATGTTAATGCTAACTAAAATACAGAAGATTAGAAATTTCCAGGTTGTCACATAGTGTTTGCTCTATATCCATCCATGTTTCATCCAATGCACTAGGTTTGAGCCATTTAGAAATATACTGTAACTTATTTGCTAAGAAGTAATGATGGAAATTAGGGAAGTCTAGTCCACCCCTGTCTTTAGTTTTCTGTAGAGTTTTCAGGCTGATTCGAGAGGGTTTATTCTTCCAGAGAAATTGAGAAATGTGTGATTCTAGTGATCTAAACCATGTATAGGGAGGTTTCGTAGGGACCATAGAAAACAAGTAATTGATTTTAGGCAAGATCATAATTTTTATGGTGGCAACTCTACCCATGAGTGAGATGGGTAAAGATTTCCACCGAGCAAGATCGTCTTCTATGGTCTTCAGTAGTTGAGTGTGATTTAACTTTAATAAATCTGACAATCTGGAAGAGATGTTTATGCCAAGATATCTTATATTACCTGATTGTAATGCTATATTGGATGGCCCTTGAAACCTACAATTAATCGGTAGAACTGTGCTCTTTGACCAGTTAATAGAATAATCGGACAAGGATGAGAACTTATTGATTAATGAGATTGATTCAGAGAAAGATGTACATGAGTTCTGAAGGAATAATAAAACGTCGTCGGCATAAAGGCTTATCTTATGTTCATTCTTTAAGGACCACACACCTTTAATATCCTGATTTTGCCTGATTGCCATTGCTAAAGGTTCTATAAAGATGGCAAAAAGTGATGGGGAAAGAGGGCATCCCTGCCTAGTGCCTCTCTGCAGATTGAAGCTAGGAGAGGTTTGATCATTTGTCCTAACTCTTGCATTAGGGGATTTATATAAGATCTTAATCCAGTTAATAAAGGTTGATCCAAAGCCGAATTTACTTAAAGTAGCTAATAGAAATTTCCAATTAAATCTGTCAAAGGCTTTTTCCGCATCCAGAGATACTATAATGGTTTCTAAATTATTAATGTTGGAATAATCGGTAACACTTTACAATACGGGTGCACTAATATGCATTAATTCATGTTTAACTAATGCATAGATAATCATGAGTTAATGTATGATTCATTAAGCACTAAACCATTAATTAATGATTACTGCATCAGCAACTAATAAAGAGTCTATATGATTAATAGATTCAGTAATACACAAATTGCTATTAATTCAATGTGTCATTGTGTATTAATTCCTTAATAACCTATTTTATTAACTAATAGTGTAAATTAATGTGTTAATTACCACAATTAGTCAAAGCTATGCACTTCAACTACCAGTTGTCTGCTTTAATTAATCATTAGCTAATGATTTGCAAAGGTATCATTATGTTATGACTTTACTTGTTGAGGCACATCATTATTAACTAGTCATTTAGTAATTGTAGTAATTTACACATGAATTTGCACTAACAATGAAGTTATTAATCATGTATTAATGCATATTAGTGTACCTGTATTATCTGGAAGTTGAAATACAAGGCTTTGGCTCATTCTGGAAATTAAAATATTAATTAACACTATTAGTTACAAAAATGAGTTATTAGGGAATTAATTCACAATTACATATTTAATTAATAACAATTCATGTATGAACTAATACATTAACCATACAGACCCTTAATTAGTTCCTAATGTGGTAATCATTAATGAATAGCTTAGATAATCATTAGTTACACATTAATTCAGTATTATCTGTGCATTAGTTAAGCATGAATTAATGCTTATTAGTGCACCCGTATTGTAAAGTGTTACCGAATAATCTAATAAATTAATAAATCTACGCATGTTTGTAGAGGAATGTCTGCCTTTTATAAAACCCGTTTGGTCAGGGTGAATTATACAAGGGGTTATTTTCTCTAACCTTCCTGTTAAGGTTTTGCAGATTATTTTAAGGTCAACATTTATCAATGATATGGGGCGATAGCTAGTTGGTAATGTGGGATCTTTGCCTGTTTTTAACAATTGACTGTTACTTCTACAGAAAGTAGATGTGTGTAACAGGTTTTTTTAATAAGTTCAATACGTAAAACAATCTATAACTTTGTAGGTTTGCTTTAAGTTACTGATTACCTCAGTTCACATACAATTCAAATCCAGAAATTAGAATCTAGAATTGGAATTTCAAAGCATTCTCAGTTCTGAATCACTTATTTGAAGGATTAGTTCACCTCAGAATTAAAAGTTCCTGATAATCTACTAACCACCACATCATTCAAGATATTCATGTCTTTCTTTCTTCAGTCGAAAAGAAATGAAGGTTTTTGAAATGAAAACATAGCAAGATTTTTATATATAAAATATATAGTGGTCCATATAGTGACTTCAACGGGAACCAACAGTTTGAAGGTCCAAATTGTTTCAATGCAGCTTCAAAGGTTAAGAGAATAAGAGTCTTATCTAGAGAAACCATCTGCCATTTTCGAAAAAAAAAAAACCAACAACATTTATATACTTTTTAACCAAAGGGCGTCTTGCACTTAAATGACAGATGGTTTCTCTAGATAAGACTCTTATTCCTCGGCTGGGATCGTGTAGAGATCTTTGAAGCTGCACTGAAACTGAGATTTGGACCTTCAACCCATTGGTTCCCGTTGAAGTCACTATATGGAGAAAAATCCTGGAATGTTTTCCTCAAAAACCTTCATTTCTTTTCGTCTGAAGAAAGAAAGACATGAATATCGTGGATGACATGGGGGGGTGGGTGTCAATTATCAGGAAATGTTTATTCTGAAGTGAACTAATCCTTTAATACTGAACAAATATAGTGAAGTTGAAACCATTAGAGAAGTAAAGCAGAGCTCAGTGTCACCTGTATAGTGCACAGGACGGTTTCTGGCATTTCTGCTGTGCCTTGTGTTTCTGAAGTCATACTGTTAGCCTGCAGATCTGAGGAGGGGCACAGCCAGGTCTCTGGAAGTCAAACACACACAAAACCCTTAAAACGGAGAGAGTCTGACTGACATAACAGCAGAGTTATAGTGTAGTGCATCAAATGGTGCATGACAGGGCAAGTACTAACTTGGACCAAGCAGAGGAACAAGGTGATCGGGTTGATTGATAATGGTGTAAACCCACGAGGGAACCAACAAACAGACAGGCAAAACATCCCTGAGAGAAATGTGAGTGGAGCACATGCCAGAAGAAGGTTACAACAACACATTATTTATACAGTTTAGCACGTATTATAATCTTTGGTGTAAGGGAAACAAGGAGATTATTAATTCTCTTTGAAGAGCATTGACTGCAACTGTTTGCCCCATAAGAGATGTTTAGTATAATTTACTATCTAACACAGCGGTGCAGTATTTCCTGTGGTAACACTCCTGTTCTCAAGCAAAACAGGTCAATAGTTGCTAGATAATCATAAGTCATCCGCACCTGCTCAGTGTGTAGAAGTGCAGCAGCTGAAAGAGATCAGGAAAAGCCAGGTGTGACGTTGTCAGTTGAAGCGCTGTGAAAGAAAGACTCAGTCAGACTTGCGCTATGAGTCATTGAGAGAAACTGGACAAACTAGTTATGAACTTTAAAAGAACACGGATGTGATGAGGAAGTAGGAAGGCTGCAGTGTTCATTATGTCAACCAGAACCGCGTGCACAAATAAAGAAGAAAGTACAGAGAAGAGTTTACTGAACTTCTCATGTACATGATTTGCACATGGATTTGCACTTCCCATGTCTGTTCGTAACAGGAAATGTAGAACACCTGCAGGCTTTACATCCGTATCAGCTTGTGCATTTCCTTTCGTGCAACATAAAACATGCTCTGAAGTCGTTCTTTCATATCTCAGGAAACTTAGCTTGATGCTTCCCTTATAAAATCATTTATAAAAAAACAAAACAAATGGGACAGTAGTTGATATACAGTATACACCCATAAAATGTGGACAGCGTAGCTCAAATGTGTAATTTGATGTTGAGAACACCCAGCCTGCAATAGTTGTCATTTAACCATCTAGGTTAACTATAGAGTAACCCACTTCTAGACAAAATAACATTTAAATTTGTTTACATGTCGTTTTTGCCAAAATAACTTGCGAGATGTACGATATTCCATCATGTAAGTAAAGTAAAGAGTGATTACAAGGTGTTTGGTTTCATTTCTTCACTCATTTCATTTCTTTGTTATCTAATTCTAATTGTTAGTCTATTCTTGAGTGATGGTTTAGACGACTATTAAATTTTCACTGACAGCTCAAATTTTGCCTAGTTTTAGCCTAGACATGTTTGGACATGTATCAGGCGTCTTTTAAATGCAAAATTGCTTGCTTGGCATGTTGATCATGTTTGAGTTCATGTTGAAATCTGATTTTTGTATCAACAAAGACAATAGAATAACAAAAGACACATCTCTCGTATTGTTTTGAATGGAGAAAAGTGCAACGCTCAATATGGCGGAATAAGTCCCGCCTTCTAAATAAGAGCCAATCGCGCATTGATCCAGCCTGAAAAATGTCATTTTCTGTCATGTTTCGAGCATTTAGAAACAACATTTATGAGACAGTTGTTGTCAGATTTCATTGGTGATTTCAAATAAGAAATTGAATCGTAAGCTTGACGAACAGTTTTGGAGAATTTGATGTTTCCCCATTCACAGACACATGAGCTGCACTTGCACGGCCGAGAGGCGTTTCAAAGATGGCCGCCGAGTGAAATGACTTGTCTTAAAGGGACTTTGGTATCAGTCAAGGATGAACGCTGTTTCCAGTACCTGTTCCAGTGGTTATGATGGGGAATTCTTTGACCGGCTCATCGCTGTCCGCTACAGACAAGCACAGAAGCTGGTCTTGAGACAAAGACCCTTGGACCACCAGGAAACTCTGTGCAAAGGAACAGATTATTTCACTGTTATGCGAGTTTAATGAAACTGTTATATTGAGATCATTGAGGATTGAACATTTTTAGAGAATATTGTATCATGTTTTGCACTCATGTGAAAGAGTGACACAACCAGCTTTGACATCAAGGAAACGCACACTTTGTGGGTAAGCTCTCTCACAAGAGGAAGTCAGTGCGCACACAAGTTGGGTGCCAAAAAAAAACACCCAAAAATAGATGAGCGTGAGAGCTACTGAAGTTATTTGAGTTTATTTAGTTTATCGAAACCAATGATGACTAATGCTTCTAACAATATTCACAGGTTATATGCTTTTTTAGAGTCTATGGTTATATGTCATTCAAATTCACTCCCTAAAATATTAACAACAAGAACCCTCTTAGGAATTTGTTGACCACAGGGGAAGTGAAATGAGATCTTTGATCATTTTGACATCACTCACTATTTATACAGAGTAATATATAGTGCAGGACTATAGGAGTATCTTCCACAGCTTTGAAATCGCCTCGGCACAGACTATCAGTGTTAGCAAACATTTCTGAAAAGTTCAACATTGGATCCTTAGAGATTCTGCTGAGTCCGAGAACCCCCAAAAAACGAAAAAAAATTGATTTTTTATTTTTATTCATTCTTTCTTCGGATCCCCATTAGCTTCCACATAGTGGTTGCTAATCTTCCTGGGGTTCACAAAGCTAATTTATGTAGATCTTGTATTATTTTTAATCATTACATGTTAAATGAGGATTTTTAACAGCACCCACTGCACAGTTGACACAGTTGACGATGAACAAAGTAAATGCTTGATTATTGACCATTCTGAATCAGCATATTGTAAATAACCCCTTGCATAAATTGTAGAATAGATCTTACCTTTCAATACGGTGGTCCTTCAAGACACCAGTGCTCTACTCTCTCGCTCTCTCTTTCTCTCTGCCTCTTCTTAAGTACACTTGCAATCATGCTTTCTGCACTCTTATCTAACTCTACTTCTGCAATTGTCCGCAACATAACGACAGTTTAGTCCATACAAAAACTTATGCTCATAGTGCTGGTTAGGTTAGCAAACCTTAATAAGATGATTTTTTAAGATATTTGTATTATGGCACATGTATAAACAGACGTAAGTCAATCATTGAATAAACTTCTCCCCAATAGTGCGCATAAAACTAGTATTTAGACAAAGAAACGGCTTTTATCAAACAGGGTCAAAGTTCAGAAAAAGGGAACAGTGACTTTCCACAATAAAAATAGCATCAGTAATGCAAATGCATTAAACAAATGTGGTTTGTACATGGTTTCACCAAGTAAATCTGTGTTCAACATTCCAATCAACCAATCAGATTTGAGGGACAAGTTAACAGATCATGTTTTAGGCTTATAACCAGGGTTAGGTGCTTCTACATCGGTGTAAATTTACTATCATTTACCTCGGATTTTAGGGATAAGTTATGGGTAGGGATAGGGTTAGAGGTATAGGGATAGGGTTAGGACTAAATTTTGATCCAGAAACATGTCTTCCTTGCCAAAATTACAGCAAATTGTTTTAATAATAAGACATGAAAAAGAGTTATTAACAATTAAAGTCTAGCTTTTATGGAATTTGAAGCTAAACATTTCAATGTAAATGATTGGATTGTGCATTACATTTCAAGTCACACTAAAACTACTTGACTGTTTTTTTTTATTGACAATATTATGGTTTACTAGACCTACTGTTGAAACAGCTAAATGACTGATTTAGCAAGCATTGCAAAAAGGGAAGTAAAGGCACCCACCCCAGAAGGTCTGCCCCACAGAGCGGCGTGCGCCCCATGGCTGTCCCAGGGGCTCTTGGGAGCCCAGGCCTCCTGACACAAGCGCAAGCCTTGCAGTAGACTCAGGGTTTTGGTCTGATCCCCGAAGACCCCGTTGGGTACCGTCCTGGCAGCATTTTGTCTATGAGAAATAATAAAAGTGAATAAAAAATAATTTTACTACAAAAAAAGAACATAAAAAAATGCATATTGAACAAAATGGTGATTTCTCACCTGTTCCCACTGGTTGTGAATTCATCTTTAAACTCTTTCATCATCATTGCACTGGACCTCTTCAGGAAATCTGTTCCACAAGGTCTTCGATTTTAAATATGTTGCTGAAACCCTGTTGATATTTGGAAAGAGAGAAACAAAAGAAATTATGAAATATTGTTTCTCTCCAACCCCACATCCTTTCATTTGTATGTCTTTTTGTTCACTCTTTGTCATAGTTCCTTGTTAACAGTTGAATGTGTTTTATCAGCAGTGAAATCTAAAGTCTAAAAGAGTTTTTCTTCAAATTTAGGGGAGGAGTTTCATCTGTGAAGTGCAACTTTGAAAACAGAGGCCATGTGTGCTGTGACAAAAAGAGCGACTTCTAGCTTGTTGAAATACATATTCACTATCTTGGACACAAAAAAATTGGACACACCAGCTCTTTGCTACTTATTATTGCTATTTGTCACATTTTAGAATAATAGAAAAGTTATTGAACAATTGCACTTTATTTTACAGTACATGCACTTACAGTGTACTCACCCAAGAAAGAATATAAGCTCTTACATTGGATAAGTTTGGGTTTAGGAGTAGGTTCAAGGTTAGTAGGTTTAGGTTATTAACTAGTTACTTTAATAAACAGGACTTCAACATAAAGTGAAACCATTAAAACAACACACATATGGGAATTATGTGATCAACAAACTGTTTAACAAATTACAAATATATCATATTTTAGATTATTCCAGTGTAACCAGTATGCCTTTAGGGATTCTCTGAGCACAATAAGTCATATCCCGGGATGTTTTGAACTGTGAAACTGATGCTGAACAATTGTTGTCTGTTTTTTCTTCACTATGTACTTTGATTAATTGATTAAAACCCTTAATGGTTAAAAATGGATTTGTATTAAACTATTTACAGATCTTAAATTTGTCTTCGTAACAAACTGCCACCGTAGTTTATACTTTGGATGATGACGAATGGATAAATGGTTAATTTCGCTCACATGTAGGCGTTCTTCCATTTGCTTTGGTTTGACAGCTGGAAGATACATTGCTGAGTTTCCCATAACTATAAACAATGAGCACACATTATTTTGAATTCATTGGGCGAATGAAACTTACCATTAATAGCCACTGCTGTAAACTCAAATTTGACTTTCATAAAAATCTCTCACATTGACCTCCTGAGTACACACACACACACACACACACACACACACACACACACACACACACACACACACACACACACACACACACACACACACACACACACACACACACACACACACACACACACACGTTAACACACATAACCAATGCAAGCTTCATATATAGACATAAAACAATCATTTAAATGGTTTTGCAGTAAACATTTTTTCCCAGGGTTTTTGAAAACATCTTGAATGTCGAGTGTGATTGCTTTTTCCATATACAATTTTTAGTATTTAGTTATCTGTAGAGGATTACGTTTTTGAGAAATTTGTCCAACACTGCTACTTTATTTAATTGGATACTTGTGCCGCAAACTATCATTTTTTGTCAGCCCTTTCAGCTGTCAACTCCTCTGTCATCAATAATAACTGTTTGACAGCCTGTCTTTTCAATTTATTCTTAATCCATGTTTAATGTCAATATTTATAATAAATATTTTTCATTGCAGTGTGTATTATTTTTTATATCTAAGGCTTTTGACATTTCTATAAAAAAAATGGAAAAAGCATGTGATTTCTCCCAAAAGTGTAAGCAACAGTAAATACATAAGTCCTTGATAGGCTACAGTACATAAACTTGAAATTTTTTGTCCCATGTCTCAAGAATAAGTTGATAAATATGCATTAAAAGTAACACTCTTGGAATGATGCAAATGAATGTCTTTGCTAAACTCACATGTGGTGTCTTCAAAATGTCCTCCTACATGAAGAAAAGACTGAACATCTCTGAAAGCTGCTTCAAACACCTCCAGCCACTGCAAGTTTGCGCGTGGAGTAATCGAGACTCCTCATTACGAACCTTTTCTGTACTTAGTCATGTCACCAACAGTGAGATTCACTTTTGGTCTGTGACATACATATAAACGTTCAATTTCAGTCACACTAAAGATCAGTATCAGCTTTGATAAGAGTGACAGAACTCTTGATGATGCCCTTTGTGTCTCTCACACCATAAGCTCCACCTACTTTCATTACTGTGGTAAACCTCACTGTGACAAACTTTAAGTGAAAGTAAGATACATCAGAAAGATTATATCTGAATGAGTGTTACAGTACCAAGTACATCAGTCCAGTTCCATTTTAGTCAAGTCAGCAGTTAAATGTCAAAGAATTAATTTCCTTTTATAATAATTGAGTTTAAGGGAAGACAGTGTAACAACTGGGACAAATCAGACACAATTATTTGGTATATGTACCAAACAAGCTTTAAAACTCACGCTGGGATCTGTGGTCCCATCCCCCCGGTGAGGGGAAGATGGTCTTGGTAACCGGGACAACGATCAGATAAGTTGGTTTTATTGCTGTTAAAAATGTGGTCACATGTTCAAGACAGAGACAATGGGGAAGACAGCCTTTAATACAGACTTTTACTGATCTATAAATGAACATGAAGAACATTTTGCGAATGATTTACTGTCTTTTGTAATGTCTTTTAATACTATTATTTTGTTGATGCTGTGTATTTTACAATAGAATCAATGGTCACCTATACCATGTTTGGTCTCTATAAATTGGTACTTTGCAGATCGAAATGATTGTGTACATGATATTTCGATAGCTGTGCAACATTAGTATTACCAGAATCTTTCTTAGTTTCTTCATCAGAAACAAATCCAGCTGACATGCAAATGAGCATGCTTAAAACAAAGATTCATAAATCAACCACAGAGGAAGTTTCCCGCTCGGAAATTCCACCCTTCTCATTGGTCAAGCAAACCCGGAGAGGTGGGGCCTTTCTCAGGCTTTATTAGAGACCAATTCACAGTGACTCTCTCTCTTGTTTCCTGCTGGTTGATGTCTGTGGGGACCCCCACCGGAGCCCATGGGCCCCAGCAGGCTGTGACCACGGCCTGCTATGCTTTCACTCTCCCAACAGAGTCAGACTGTAGTTTCTTCAATCCAACTCAGAGGAAAACTGCAACTTTGCCATTACTGAATGGGCAACCATCAACTCTGACACCCGACTTCCTCACTCTTTGGCCTTCTCTGTTTTGTTCCGGGTGCTGTGCTGTCCTGCTTGAGTGGACTGGATGAGCGCCTCCCATGATAATTAGGTTAATTATCTAAATGTGCTTCTCCCGAACTTTGTAAATAAAACATCATATCTTTATCCCACTGAAGAGTCTTAAGTTCTCTTACGAGAGGTTCTCTCGTATTGCGTAAGTTTAGCTTACGCTACGGGAAAGATTCATCTTCTCGAGATATTGAAGCCAAAAAATTATCCTTAATTTTGTATTCATTGTCAACACAGTGCAGCAGCTAGCAGACCTAGAGCAGGCCATCTCGCGTGCTCATTGGCTGCCCTGCTGGCATCTGCTGCAGCCTACCAGTGAGCCCCGCGTGACGTCACGCCCAATGAAGGGCGCTCGCGCCTTCATAGCGTCACAGCCCGCCAGAATGGGCGTGGCTTAGCGTATAAAAGAAGGGGCTGTAGGCTGACTTCCCTGATTTTTTGACTCTTCAGCGAGCTCTTCGCATGGCTGGATCAGAGAGAAGCCACCGCCGCCGTCGAACAGCGAACAGCCAGCTTAGGACAGCGCTGAGGAAGCCGGCCGTCTTCGCCACCTCCAGCCATCCGTGCGAGCTACGCTATCCGGCGACGTATCCTTTTTACATTGCAAAACTCTATTTCTAAAAGAGCGCGAGCGTCTTTTTAAAGATGCCACGCACTTCCTGCGGCTCGTGCAGAGCCCCGCTCAGCGTTGGAGACCGCCACGTGATCTGCGCTCTCTGCCTGGCCTGGAACATGCAGAGCTTGCCCTCGCGTCCGGGGGCTGCGAGCTCTGCGAAGCACTTCCGCTGTCGACCCTACGGGCTCGACTCGAAGTCTTCAACCCGGATGCAGCCGCTCCGCCCTCCGTGGGACCGCGCAGGAAGAAGCGCCGTTCCCTGAGGCAGCCGGAGCCCGTTCCCTGCCTCCCCTCCCCGACGCGCAGCTGCCGTTCACGAGCCTCACTGCCGTCGCGTCTGAGGAGGAGGCCGAGGAACACGCCACGAGAGACTCCATCCATCGAGAAAGGGTACACGGCTATTCCCCCTGTGGAAGAGACGGTCGCAGTGCACCTTTGCCCGCCCTCCGCGAGATGGCGGTCTTGGTCAGCCCTCCCGTCGAAAGCCTGCAGAGCCACGTCCGCCTTGGTCGGCCGCGCATATGCCGCCTCCGGCCAGGTCTGCTCTCCACTCCATGGCTGTGTTACAGATCCTGCAAGCCGACCTCCTCCGTGAATTTTTGAGATTCGCCTTCGACGGTCAGGTATATCAATACACCGTCCTGCCGTTCGGCCTGTCTCTAGCACGCCGTACATTTACGAAGTGCATGGACGCGGCGCTCGCCCCCCTGAGAAGTCAGGGGCTGCGAATAATGAACTATCTGGACGATTGGCTGATTTTGGCACAGTCAGAGACAGAGCTGCTATCTCACAGAACAGTGCTTCTCAGTCACCTGGAAAGCTTGGGTCTCACGGTCAACTGGACCAAGAGCTCATTACTACCCAGCCAGTCAATTTCCTTTTTAGGAATAGAACTGGACTCGGTGACCATGTCGGCTCGTCTATTGGCACAGCGCACGCTCCGTGTTCGCCACCTAGCCGCGTCTTTCCAGAAGGACAGCTTTCTCCCTTTGAAAACATTTCAAAGGATGTTGGGCTGTATGGCATCAGCTGCAGCGCGTCCCGCCGAGCTTGGGTTTCTGGCGGTCAGAAAATCAGAGTGACTCAGACCTGCATAGCGGCTCTGCAGCCCTGGTTAGTGGCCGACTGGTACCAGCTGGGAGTGATGATGGGAACCATCTCTTATCGGAAAGTCATTTCGACAGACGCGTCCAACTGGGGTTGGGGCGCGCTGTTCGAGGGCAGACCGGTCTTCGGCCAGTGGTCAGACCAAGAGAGGTGTTTTCACATAAACTGTCTGGAGATGATAGCGGTCGAGAATGCGCTGAAGCGCTTCCTCCCGTTCATACAGGACCAACATGTTCTTGTCCGCTCGGACAACATGTCTGTGGTATCCTATGTAAACTGTCAGGGCGGTGTCAGATCCAGAAATCTCTGCAATCTGACGGAACGCCTCCTTATTTGGTCTCAGATGCACCTGCTCTCTCTGAGGGCGGCGCACGTGCCTGGCCATTTGAACAACGGCCTAGACAAACTGTCCAGGGACAACGTTCCCCCAGGGGAATGGTCCCTGCACCCCCAAACGGTCCAGAAACTGTGGCGCCTATTCGGCAGGGCGGAAGTCGACCTATTTGCGTCAAAAAACAACGCTCAATGCCCGAAGTTCTTCTCGAAGGACGAGGACGCGCTGGCCCAGGTTTGGCCCAGCCTCCGGCTATATGCTTTCCCTCCGGTCTCTCTGTTACCACAGGTGATCAAGAGAATCAGGGAAACGCGCCACTCAGTGCTCCTCATAGCCCCGCGTTGGGAGAATCAGATTTGGTTCCCGGAGCTAGCACGGCTGTCACATACAGCTCCGTGGCCGATTCCGGTAAGGGCAGATCTCCTCTCTCAGGCTCGCGGCACGATCTGGCATCCCCATCCAGAGCGCTGGTCTCTGCACGCATGGTTGATCAACGGGTACTCGTTGCCCTGGCAGATGGAGTAATGAACACGATCACGCAGTCTAGAGCCCCTTCCACGAGAAGGCTCTACGCGTCTAAATGGTCGGTGTTCTCTGGATGGTGCACCGACAGAGGTCTGGACCCGCGGACATGCGGGGTGGCGCATCTGCTCTCTTCCTACAAGAGCTGTTGGATAAGGGAAGGTCCCCATCCACGCTCAAAGTATACGTGGCGTCCGTAGCAGCGTTCGCAGAATCGACGCACGGCCAGTCATTAGGAAGACATGAGTTGGTCATCCGCTTCCTTAGAGGAGCTAGGAGGATGAACCCGCCGTGCCCCCCGTCGGTTCCCATGTGGGATCTTTCACTGGTCCTAGAGGCCCTGAAAGCTTTTCCCTTCGAACCACTAAACTCCGTGGGGTTGAAATATCTATCACTGAAAACCGTCTTTCTGACTGCACTGTCGTCAGTAAAACGTGTTCGGGCCGAATGACTCTAAAGTCATCCTCAGACCTAGACATGGCTACGTTCCTAAAGTGATGGGCACTCCGTTCAGAGCGCAAGTTATCTTGTTGTCAGCTCTCCCAGCATCTGACAGTGAAAGTGATGTGAACCTCCTCTGCCCTGTCAGAGCGCTGAGGTTTTACATTACGCGCTCCGCCTCATTCAGGCGTTCGGAACAGCTGTTTGTTTCGTTCGGTGGGCGCACCAAAGGTCTTGCCTCCTCGAAACAGAGCCTGTCCAGATGGATAGTGGACGCTATAGCAGCCGCTTACGCGTCAAAAGGTCTGCAATGCCCTCTGGGCATCAGGGCTCATTCCACGAGAGGCGTGCCCTTTTCGTGGGCATGGTCCAGTGGAATTTCTATCCATGACATATGTGTAGCGGCGGGCTGGAGCTCCCCGTCTACCTTTGTCAGGTTTTATAACCTAGAAGTTCCTGCCTTGCAGGCTAAACTGTTGTCAGTTTAAAGGAGAGGTGTATTCTGCCCAGACCTCCTGCTCAGATCACTCTCACATGACTCAGCTCTCCTGGTTGAGCTGCACTAAGTAGGGTATGTGCCATGTGCCTATACAGACCGGCGCGCTGCTCTGTATTCCCTATGTGTGCTTATGTACAAGTGATGGCCCGCGTGGCTGGCCACCTTATTCTCCACCTTATAGGGTTCCCCTGAAAGTTCGGGGTCTCATGGTGGATGCTTGGCGCGCACGGCGTTGCCAAAGTGTTCCCGTAGCGTAAGCTAAACTTACGCAATACGAGAGAACCTCTCGTAAGAGAACGATACTCGGTTACTAACGTAACCTCGGTTCTCTCTAGAGAGGGAACGAGTATTACGTAACCGGCCGTGCTCGCGCCACGAGCGACATCGCTTCAGTCGTCGAAAAACCAGGGAAGTCAGCCTACAGCCCCTTCTTTTACGCTAAGCCCGCATTCTGGCGGGCTGTGACGCTATGAAGGCGCGAGCTGCCTTCATTGGGCGTGACGTCACGCGGGGCTCACTGGTAGGGTGCAGCAGATGCCAGCAGGGCAGCCAATGAGCACGCGAGATGGCCTGCTCTAGGTCTGCTAGCTGCTGCACTGCGTTGACAATGAATACAAAATTAAGGATAATTTTTTGGCTTCAATATCTCGAGAAGATGAATCTTTCCCGTAGCGTAAGCTAAACTTACGCAATACTCGTTCCCTCTCTAGAGAGAACCGAGGTTACGTTAGTAACCGAGTTGTAGCATCGCTATTGTCAGGAAGAGCACAAGACTGTACCACCACCATTTGGAATCATGAAAGCGAATTGCGACGCTCCTATAACTGGTTTATCTCCCTCATTCGGGAAGTGTTCAAGCATTCTCAGAGGAAAAAGATGCAGGGGAGATTCTGCTGAGCCTGAAACAAGTACAGTGTTCAGCCACTGACTTCGCTTTATCAATCCACATGCTCGCCGCTCAAACTGTGAGGGTTGATGACAGCTTTTAGTTTGTTAAGGGTTGAATCCCAACCGCCATGCTGAACTGGCCTGTTGTGATGAGGGCAAATAACGTTGCCATCTGGTTGGACAATTTGATCAGGTCATGTTGACCTTCCAGACCCATGCAGGCCTTAACAACATGCAACCCAGACACCTGCGATCCCGAATCCATGCAGGTGGGTCGATCTTCTATGTTGGCTGAGGAGCATAAGAGCCCATCTGTGCCTTTACTGTGGACAATCAGGACACCTCCTGGCTGCCTGCCCGATTCGTCCCCTAGGAAGGGGTGATACTCGGTGGTGAGTTTGGATTTTTCTAATCTACTTTTTGTAGGCCAGTTAGAAGTCCCAGTTATATTATATGCTCATAATGAGGCACATTCTGTATCAGCCAATTTAGATTCAGAGGCTGCAGGCAATTTCATAGATTTTAGTTTGGTTGATTCCCTGAATTGCTCTCTTGTTTAGCAATTGCTCTCTTGAATTGCTCCCCCCCCCCCCCCCCCCCCCCCACCACAACGGCGGTTATGTTACGAACCGTCACATTTGACTCACGTCATAACCGTCATCACCAATTCTGAAACCGGCACACCCCTAATGAGAACACTCTAGCCCTGCCCACCTATTATTCTGATCTCCATGAAGCATTCACCAAGTCTAAGGCCACCCAACTTCCTCCACATCGCTCCTGTGTATGTGCTATTGACGTTTTGCCAAGTACCTCTCCCCCTCACGGACGCATATATACCCCCTTTCAGAACCTCAGGCCAAAGCCATGGAGGAGTACATTTCTGAGGCACTGGAGAAAGGCTTCATCCAACCAGGTACCTCCCTGCCTCCGCCGGCTTCTGAAGAAGAAGAGCGGGTTTCTCCGTCCGTGCATTGATTAACGGTGTGTGAATGCTATCACTATTAAGTATCACTTTCTTTTACCCCTTGTTCCTGCAGCCTTTAAAACAGTTGAAGTCGGTAAAAGATCTTCTCACAACTAGACATTTGTAACTTGTACAACTTGATCCACATCCGTGAGGGGGTCGAATGGAAGGTGGCCTTTTCCACTTGCACAGGGCACTATGAACATCTGGTGATGTTGTTCGGGCTATCCAACAGTTCATCTGTCTTCCAGGCCTTTGTCAATGACATCTCCAGAGAATTCCTGGGCAATTGGGTCATGATCTATATTAGGGGTCTCCAAACTTCATCCTGGAGGGCCACTGTCCTGCAGAGTTTAGCTCCAACTTGCCTAAACACACCTGACTGGAAGTTTCTAATATGTCTTCTATGACCTTGATTAGCTGATTCAGCTGTGTTTAATTGGGGTTCGTGCTTAACTTTGCTGGACAGTGACCCTCCAGGAACAGGATTGGACACCCCTGATCTATATCGCTGATATCCTGATCTACTCCACTTCCCTTGATAAGCAGGTCCAGCATGTCAGAGCTGTTCTACAATGCCTCATTTAAGTCAAGTCAAGTCAAGTCATCTTCATTTATATAGTGCTTTTAACAATGGAGATTGTTTCAAAGCAGCTTTACAGAGATAAAGATACAATTTACGGTAACAGAGATTGTTTTGGCTTGATAGCGATTTTTGAATAATGTTATTTCCAGCTAAAGTTGGTTTTGATTGATTCACTTCCAGCAAAATTATCATTTGTTATTACATTAGGGGCCACTAAGACGATGGCGTTCTCTCTAAACAGACTTTAAACGCGAACCTGTGACCTGATGGCGTTCACATGCGCATTAAAAATGGATTCTATAGTTAAATTCGTTTGAATATGTGTGCGCAGGTTTGTAATTTCCCAACAAACCATGCCTAAACAAACTACTTGTCTTGCCTATGAATTTGATACAGAATTTTATTTTATCACTTCGAGGTACGCGAACCGGATTTTCAACAACGCTTTATCTGTAGAGTAACAGCAGTTTTATGCCAAGATAAAAAAAAACAGCTTTACAAGACCCCAATCTCCTTTTTGGGCTAGAGATTACAAGACCACAGTCTCCTTTTTGGGCTAGGTCATCTCTCCTGAGGGTGTAGCCATGGACTCATCTAAGGCACAAGCCAACGTCATGGTTCACCCACAAGACTCTACCCCAGTGCAGCTCTCTCATGGAAGATTTAGGAGGTACCCATCCCTTTGCACCAGAGAATTCTCCAAGGGGTTCACTGTTCAACCAGCTCTGGCCATACAGGAATCCAAGCTACCAGCAGGCTAGTTCAGAACCGGTTTTCCCTTGCCACTGATGTCGCCACCTATGTTAGTAATTGGAATGAATGTGCCACATCAAAATATTCCAGAACAACTTCCCTCTAAACTCCTTCATCCTCTGCCTACTCTGTCGTTCTTGGTCTCATATTGGAGTAGATTTCATCACGGACCCTGCTCACAGGCTTTCCAGCCATTTTGACAGTTGTCGACAGATTCTCCGAGGCCAGTCGACTCATTCCCCTTCCCGAAATACTCTCCGGATCAGTGGGTGGGGCTGTCGACCAGAGTACTCCATCTGCAGCTTCCTTGCAAGAAAGTCCCAGGTATGTTGATCCTTTCAAAATCATCCGTCAAATTGATCCTGTATCTTTCAAGTTACAACGCCCTATCTCACCCACTTTTCATGTTTCTCTGCTTAAACCAATGAGGGAGGAGGGCTCACAAGACTCACATAAGTTGACATGTACTTGCAGTTACTTCTAGTCAGGAGACCATCAAAATAAAGTGTTAGATATTAATTAGACAGTCAACTAATACTCTAGTGACTGGTTGTTGACATGTAGTTGTAAAGTTACTTATAGAATGTCTAAAGTGGACCATCAAAATAAAGTGTTACCTTATTAAGCAATACATAAGGAGGGGTCGTTCATGAATATATTACTACAACATTAAGAGCAAAACAGTGTTCCTAATTATTAAACAGTGTGAAATTAGAGGTAATGCTATTATGAATATATTATTGCTTATTGCTAACAAACTTACTACAAGTCAAGTCATCTTCATTTATATATAGCGCTTTTAACAATGTAGATTGTTCCAAAGTTGCTTTACAGTGATAATAGGAAATTAAAGTAACAGATATTGTTTTGGCTTTATGACAGCTCTAGAATAAAGTTATTGTCCAGCTAAAGTTAGTTTTAATTGATTCACTTCCGTCGCAACGATCATTATTTATTAACTTAGGGGCCGCTAACACGGCACCGTTTTAACAGAAAACTCTTAAGTTCTCTCTACGCAAACTTTAAAAACGCTAACCTGTGAGAACGCTGATGGTGTGCACATGTTATTAAGAGTTCATTCTATAGGTATGCGCGTTTGAATATATGTGCGCAGGCATGTAGTCCTTCCCTAAAAAAATAATACTAAAACTACACAATAAAATTATTAAGGACACAATTTTTCATCAAAACATCAAGTAATCAAATTACTAAGGTGTCATCCTTAAGCTAAAAGATATGGACCTGACACATAAAATAAGGTTAATAGTTAGCCTGTGGGAGTTATGTAGTTTTAATGCCTTTTGACAACATCACACCACATGCATACATACAAAACTTGTTCTTGTTTCCTAATAAGGGCTCAATCAGATATGATAGTAATGTTGTAAAACACTACTGGGCCAACTTCCTCTTACACAACTGAAGCATAGGGTGGATATCAGCATCCAAAGCATCCAAAGAAGAAAAAAACAGCCATATGTATTAGAATAGTTTATATACTGCAAATATTATTAATAATTCATTAACTCTTTAATGTCTTTCATTAACATTATGGTCTACTAAAATCTAAAAATGATTGCACAAAAAAAGAAAAGTCTTATTGACAAAATACACCCTCATTAAAATTATGGTGAATGTCATGAAATCTGTTAAAAACTTACCTCAGACTTAACGCAAATGCATTTCATAATGCAAAGAAATGTAAATCTCATTATAGTAGTGCAAAAAAAACAAATAAAAACGATTGGATTTAAATGGTAACAAATTTATACAGCATGCTATCATTTGTTGTACAGCTTTTTGTACGTTTCTATAAATTCTATTTAATTTAAGTTAAATTTGAGTTAATAAGTAAAAACAATGTTAAAAGGGGTTAAAAGTAACACTCATTGCTTAAATGAAAATAATGTCACAGTGCAAAAAAAATCTCCATGGTCCTTAAAGTACGCTTCATTTTCTTTATGTAGAATAAATGTAAACAAAAAAAAATTGGGGGGAGTTAAATGTGACCTCAACATGTTTTCCTGTGTTTCACCCATAAATACCTTTTTTTAAGCCATCAAACAGCCAAAGTTAGCCTGTGAGTCTCATTTGACACAACACACCCCATCGCTGCGGCTTGTTTCAGACATATGCTTTTGCAAGACCTTATCACAGGACCTTATGTGATAAAGCCAAGTCAGCTTTAAAAAATTACATTTAAAGCATTATGTTTTTTTATAATTGTGTTTCACAAACTGTTTTTGTCAGAGCAGTCCCTTGGCCAAAGCAGAACACCACACTTCTGCTAAAGTGTTTGCTGTCTATCTGTCTCACTGTTCCAGTCTGAGCTCTATGTGGTTTCTGTACCATTTCTATAGCATCTATATTGCTATTACAGACAAAACAGCTCAGAGAAACAGAAAAACATGATGGACAGTGTGAAGGCCAGAGTGGAGTGAATTACGGAGATCTATTAGGGCTGCCATGTGAACCCTCTGCATGCTCTGATTGGTTATTCGGTCTTGTCAGCCTTCCCAGGCTCCGCCCCAGTGCTTCTGGAGCTCTGATTGGCTTCCTTATCTTTCTTTTTATCATCTTTGGTGTCAATCAAAGCATGTTCACGCTTCACCATCTCTTCCAGCTCTGCCTGAAACCAAAAAGGTTGACATCTCATGCAACAAACACTTTAAGAAGGAAAACATTTTACTGATTTAAATGAAATGTCAGATCTGCATGTGAATATTTACTGTATTTACCTTCCAGCCCAGCAGTTCGGCAAGAGCCATGCAGCCGTCATCACAGGTGCTCAGGTGAGCCACATCTCTGTGAACGATCAATAAAGTCAATCTTCGCAAACCTCACTTATACATGTACGTGTCTAAATGCTTATTCACACCACCTGCCATTTGAAAAGTTTAGAAATACTTAAGACATTTTATGTTTTTGGTATAATCAATAGTGGGGTATAATGGTGTACTGTATATACAAGTTGAAGGGGAAAATCTGGAATCTACTGCTGCTTAAATGTATATCTAATGAGTGATTATAATCAAGGTATTAATCACTATTTTTCCATCTAAATATCAAATGAGTTTAATGACATCTCTAGGCTTATGAGATTTTACATTGTTATAGAACAAGTTACCAGTGTGATTACTGAAATGTTCTTTTCATGTGTTCTCTAATGTCTGTATTTGATATCTGAATGCAGTAACAGTGCTTGCTCATTTAGCCCGGCTTCCAGAAATGAATTATGGACTTATTTAACATGTCAATACATCCATCTGCTTTTCTAGGGTACCCTGACAACTATGGCCATTGAAGTCTATAGTTTAAGGGACCATTTCTCAGTTAAAGCTTTACTTTACGGTGTTGTTTCAAAGTGTCCTCTCCTTGAGAGAAAGAACACATTATCTTGATGTTTTGAGGAGACTCTCCAGTACGGTGTACATTTTAGGACATCCTCAGACATCAGCCATATGAAGACAAGGCATCATGCCCCAGACTAAAAGGCTTCAGTCATTAGACAAAACGGCATCGCGCCTCAGACTGAAAAGCTTCAGGTCTCAGGACAAACAATGTCAGGTGTCAGGTCTCGTACAATTAGGCATCAGACAATTAGGCATTAGTCTGAGTCCGTTTCGCCCGATGCCTTTATGTCTGATGCCTTATTTTCTGAGGCAGTTTCGTCTGATGCCTAATTGTATGAGACCTGACACCTGACATTGTTTTTTCTGAGACCTGAAGCTTTTCAGTCTGAGGCGCAATGCCGTTTTGTCCATGATGCCTTGTCTTCATATGGCTGAGGTCTGAGGATGTCCTAAAATGTACACCGTACTACGGTTTATAGTTAGAGCCTGGCCAAATCCAAGCTTGAGGAAGCTGTGTGTCTTCTTGGTTACAGGTTAAGGAATGTCGAGAACAGTCCACATTATTGGAGATTGAGTGAGTTGTTGTTCTGTACATGCTGGCGCCCAGGAACCCAAATCTGCGACCTGGAAGTTCAAGACGTGCCTAATTCAGGGTCCGTCAGCTGCATAATCGATGGAGATATGCTTCAGTCTATCTGTATATTTACATTTTCATTTATATTTATTCATTTAGCTGACGCTTTTATCCAAAGCGACTTACAATTGCTATATATGTCAGAGGTCGCAAGCCTCTGGAGCAACTAGGGGTTAAGTGCCTTGCTCAGGGACACATTGGTGTCTCACAGTGGATTCGAACCCGGGTCTCTCACACCATAGGCATGTGTCTTATCCACTGCGCCATCACAAGTACAAAGTAATTTTCCACACATATACGCAGTGTATATGTGTGGAAAATTACTTTGTACTTTCCTCAAACCAATCATTGTTTTGGTTTTTTTGGGGGTAAACAAGGAGTAGTATGTGAATAGTACAGATTACAAGATTTTTACAATTAAGTTTAGACATCAAGTAAAGTTAACTAAAAAGTGTGGTAACACTTTATTTTGATGGTCCCTTTTGAACGTGCTGTTGACTATAAGTAACTATATGTCAACTAACTCTCATCAGAGTATTAGTAGATTGTCTGCTTAATATCTGCAGACACTTTATTGTGATGCTCCTCCAACAGACAATCTACTGACTATAAGTAACTTTGCAAGTACATGTCAACTTATTCTAACCATAACCCTACCAGTCTATTGATACTCAACTAACACTCTAATGAGAGTTAGTAGACAATTAGGTGCAACGTTACTTATAGTCAACAGAATGTGTTAAAGGGACCATCAAAATAAAGTGAAACCAAAAGGGTTAGTTTGAACAACTGTTGGATTTTACAGTGTACTTGTTTTGTCCAGCACTTCACAATGCTCTTTGTGTTCCAGGCCTCAAGAAGACACGCTGTTGACCAGGACCACACTCGGAGGCCTCACCTGTAGGCTTTATCCGAGTCAAAGTCCATTCCTCCTCCAAAAGCGAATAACCCCGTGCCAAATTCCGACTGTTGGAGAAAGACACGTAATGCAAGAATGTAATTATAAAACAAATTTGTTTCATTCGAATGTCTATTATAATTAGATGAGCAATTACAGACCTGTCCGGTTTTCTCCATATTGATGAGCAGTCTAGGACAGCTGTTTGACACTCTGAAGAGAAGACAATACATTTAAGGAGCTTAGTTACTATATTTACTGTCCTTGGATGTTTTTAAAGTTATTTTAATTGTTATTTATTGACTGGTGCTGAGAGAGTGCCAAGGCACATTGCATTTCATTGCTGTGGTACTCTGTACTAATATGCATATTACAATACACTTGAACTGAACCGAACTGAACTGAAGCTGAAATGAGGTTTTAAACAACTTCAGATTTGCAAAAAAAAAAAAAATGTTTGATGCGATGCACATCATTTAATGTTATTTGTTGGAAAAATAAAATTAACCAACATTATTCATTTTCATTTTCATTTAATGCACATTGATTCAGCATTAAGCGGATACCTGGAGACATGCTTACCTACTGACTAGTGATGCGAACGGCTGAACCTGTAGGGATGTGCCCAATATGATGAGAAGATCACATCGAGGAAAGTCCTGCGGTACAACAGTGGGATGACAGTAAGAGTCGAACTGAAAATGTGGAGCGACTGGCTTTGACCTTAAAGATAGGCTGAATCCTCACCATTTTCATGGAAGTGAAGAATCGAGGAGGTAGATTCTCCCCAAAAAACACAATATCTAAAAAAGGACGAGAAACATATCCACAAAGAGGCTAAAACCATCAGAATATAAAAAGAGACCAAGAGTCACCAAGGAAAGCTATTTAATGACGGAGTGAAAATAGGACTGTTCCTCACACTTAAGGAACTTTTATGCCATAAAAATAGTTTTATTCCCAATTCAATTCATTTGTATGCTAAAGGGATTCTGCAATATATCTTTTGTGTTTTGTGGAAGAAAGAAAACCATACAGTTTTGGAACAATATGAGAGTAAATAAATGATGACAGAATTATCATTTTTGGGTGAACTATGTCTTGAATCCAAAACTAATCCTAATAGGAAAAAGAAAAGGCTGTAGATATTATTCTTGTTCTTAGAGACGATTGCTCTTACCAGGTTTAACCAGGGTTCCACAGGAATCGCACTTAGGAATATCTTCAGAGAAAATTTGATCTGCGAGTCAGAAACATGGAATAAGAATAGTGAAGCGAAACAACATTCCCACATCTCATTTAAAGGGATACTTCACCTCTGGAAAGATGAATGTGTATTTAAAATGGGTCATTTTTTAACCAAAAAAAAATTATTTTTTAATTTTGAGCTTTCTAGACTGAGAAAAGCCAGAAAATGTATTTTTGGCTTATGTGGATGAAAGACAACAACTCCCAGAATGCACTTGCTTCGCTGCCCTAGGAGGCCACGCCTACCGGTAACGGAGCGCAGTGTTAAACAACAAGTCTAGGCTACTAGTGATTCTCCGTGATGAGTCTGCCCGAAAATGTGTTTCGAGATCGCCCAAAATGTCCGGGATTCGGCTTTTGCTTTCTACAGTCGCCATTCATTACGTTTACTGTGGCGAGCAGGACGAGGCTAGGGCCGCGGGAGAACGGCGCGAGGGCGGTGGCGTGATTACCGATGAGCGACACCTGTGAGACGCACCGGTCTCGTATCTCTCACGGAGGAGCGGGAATTTTCTTAGCAATGTTAAAACGCACATCAACTGATCACTTGTTTAGCGTTCATGTAAACACTACATTCAGATTCACCAATCGGAATGAATTCAGTTAGATTGAAACAAAAGGTGTGCATGTAAACAATGAATGGCGACTGCAGAAAGCAAAAGCTGAATCCAGGACATTTTGTACGATCTCGACGGCCGGACATGTCCGGGAAAAAGAGGATGAATGGTAACCCCTACTACTCAGCTTTCTCCTACTAAGTTACTCCGCTTTCTCCACAGAACAAGAGCCTGCTAGCTTAGCTTCCAAAAAAGATGTCTGACACTATGTGCACATTCTGTGAGTGAGATCCCACCCTCTATGGGCGGGTTGAGAACATGCGGAACAGCCCCTACTACTGACTGTAGTCTTTAGCCTCTGGCCAAAAAATCCTTCGATGACGCAAAATGACGATTTCTGCGTCATCGGAGGATTTTTTCCAGACAAAAAATACATAAATCTCTCGTCTCAGGGGGATATGAGGGTGGAAAGCACGGTAATTTGAAAATACTACAGGTTTTCTACTAATACAAAGCTTAATGCTAAATCCTGAAGTATCCCTTTAAAACTGAAACCAGAAACCACAGAGACATGTCAGTGTTCAACACTGTACCTTTCATCCAGTCCATGGAGAACTCCTTACGACAGAGGAAGCTCACGCAGTGAGATGTGTGAAATGTGCCGTGAGCTTCAATCAGGTCCTCGCCTTCCAGACCGGCAACTCTCTCTAGAGTATCGATATTCTGAAAGAAATAACAATAATAATTGTATAATATATATATATATAATTTTTTCGCTCGCAAAGTACCGGTACGTGTATATAAAAATTATGCAGCCGAACACTGTCTCTCTTACCTGAGAGTAGCAGCGACTCAGTAGGCCTTTGTCCTTCAGCATCTTCATGAAATAGTGACACACTGTGGGCTGGAGAAACCAAAGCGCATGCAACAGTCAAAACTACATTCATCACAGTATTAGATGGGTCATTATTTGTATGTGGTGCCTTTTTGACCTCATGTCATGACAAAGAAGACCATGTAATATGTGTAAAATAATAATAATGAAATGTGGAATCACAATGTACGCCAATTTTTATTTCAAATACACATTAAACGTCTCTATTTCGTTCGATTTGTTTATTCTATGCTTGCAAATGAATGACTGGTATTTAAAAAAAAAAAACTTGTTCCACACTGCTGTCTAAAACTGGATTTTTGGTAAGACTTTACAATAAGGTCTCATTTGTTAACATTAGTTAATGCATTTACTTACATAAACTAAAAATGAGCAATATATGTTTTTACAGCATTTATTAGGGCCCAAGCCTAAGGGGTGAAGGGCCCTATTGTTTCCCTATGGCGAACCTTCAAACTTTCAGGCACGTTTGGTGCCCTTAAGCAGTATCCTCACAACTGTGTTCCTTTCTAGAAAGAAATGATATCTGTGAGGATTTTCAGTCCGGATTTAGACCATACCATAGTACCGAGACAGCTCTCATTAGAGTCACAAATTATTTGCTCTTATCATCCGATCGTGGTTGTATCTCTCTATTAGTGTTACTCGATCTTAGGGCTGCATTTGATACTATTGACCAAAACATTCTTTTAAATAGACTAGAAAATTATGTTGGCATTAGTGGAGTTGCACTAGCATGGTTTAAATCATACTTATCTGACTGTTATCAGTTTGTAGCAGTAAATGAAGAGATGTCTTATCGATCACAAGTTCAGTATGGAGAACCACAAGGCTCAGTACTAGGACCGTTGATGTTCACTCTGTACATGCTACCATTAGGAGATATCATTAGAAAACATGGAATTAGTTTTCACTGTTATGCCGATGATACTCAGCTCTATATTTCTTCACGCCCCGACGAAACTTACCAATTCACAAAATTAACGGAATGCATAGCCGATATAAAAAATTGGATGACTAGTAATTTCCTACTACTAAATTCTGAAAAAACTGAGATTCTAATTATTGGACAAAAAACTTCCACACGTAATAACCTAGAATACTGTCTAACACTTGATGGCTGCTCTGTTAAGTCTTCGTCGTCGGTTAGGAACCTGGGTGTGCTCTTTGATACCAATCTTTCATTTGAAAATCACGTGTCTAGTATCTGTAAAACCGCATTTTTCCATCTTAAAAATATATCTAAATTACGTCATATGCTCTCATTGACAAATGCGGAACAATTCGTTCATGCGTTCATGACATCAAGGCTAGATTATTGTAATGCTCTACTGGGTGGTTGCCCTGCATGCTTAATAAACAAACTACAGCTGGTCCAAAACGCAGCAGCTCGAGTTCTTACCAGAACCAGGAAATAAGACCATATTAGCCCGGTTCTGTCAACACTGCATTGGCTGCCTATTAAACATCATATACATTTTAAAATATTGCTGATTACTTACAAAGCACTAAATGGTTTAGCTCCACAGTACTTGAGCGAGCTCTTAACGCATTATAGTTCTTCACGTCTATTGCGTTCTCGAAATTCCGGCCAGTTGATAATACCTAGAATATCAAAATCGACTGCTGGCGGTAGATCCTTTTCCTATTTAGCACCAAAACTCTGGAACAATCTTCCTAACATTCTCCACGAAGCAGACACACTCTGTCAGTTCAAATCTAGACTAAAAACACATCTCTTTGGCCTAGCATACACATAACACATTATAGACTTCCTCAATTCAAAATTAGGCTGCATAGTTTAGATCAGCCGCAACTGGGAACACGTCCCGTAAATCCTGATGTACTTGGTACATCATAAGAAGGATGGCGTCTACGCTAATATTAGTCTCTCTGTTTATCCCGAGGGACCCTCTATGGTGGACCTGCGCCTGGACCCATCCCAAATCATCCTGAAGTGCCAGCCTCATCAGCCCTGTGAAGGCCTCATCGACACGACAGCCATCGACTCTGATCCTCAACAACTCGTCTCCATTCCGGCGTGATTACTTCGACTTCCAAACAGATGGAAATAAATAAATACTCTAAATGTTCCGATCCAATCTGACTTGTAATGCTGCCCGAATCATACACTGTTCCTTCGTTGGCCAGAGGAGAACTGGCCCCCGACTGAGTCTGGGTTCTCCCAAGGTTTTTTTCTCCATTCTGTCACTGATGGAGTTTTGGTTCCTTGCCACTGTTGCCTTGGCTTTTGGCTTGCTTAATTGGGGAGATTTAATTTTCAACAATATTATTGATCTGCCTTACTTAAGGTGGACGTTGACGCAATTTTCTTCTAGAAACAAACTGTTGTATTATTTTCATGTTATCACTGTGAAGCTGCTTTGATACAATCTGTATTGTAAAAAGCGCTATATAAATAAAGGTGACTTGACTTGACTTAACATGCTCTAAAACTCTTGAAACTTCACCCCTTTTCACCTACAATAACCACACTTCATATATTTATAGATGTATATGGCATGGCACCAACTGCTGCAGTAACTGTGGCATATTCAAACAATTTTGATGAAGGTCTTTTACATTTACCCACTTTAAATAACTTTTGATTTTAATAATGCTGAGATTAACATTAACTAATGCTGTAGAAGTATTGTTCATTGTTAGTTTAAGTTAACTAATGTAGTTAACTAATGTTAACAAATGAAACCATACTGTAAAGTTTGCAGGATTTTTCCATTTGAAGGAAAAAACAAACAATTCAAGACAAAGGAGTATAAAAAGAGAAGAGAGAGGATTCATAAACTACCTTAAACTGTCCTGGGTAGAGCTCTCTGGCCAGAGCGAAGAAGGGCTCCGGATGTTTCTGGAAAAAGACTTTCAAATATGACTTATGTCCTCTTAGATGACAAACAATGAGAGTAAGACAGCAGGATTTCTTCAGAATCACAACCAGACCTTGAAATAGTCGATCTGAAAGATGGCCTCTGGGTAAGGCAGGTTGTACTTCTGCAGATTGGCGTATAGACCAGTGCCAGGAGAACGGAAATCTGGGATTCCAGCAGCTAAATTATAAAGAATTTACAGGTTAATTAAAGGCACACTATGTAACTTTTTTTGTTCAAAATTAACACAATTTAAAAAACGAGTCAATACATCGTCAATCCTTCTTCCAAAACGTGTTTTTGTCTTAACCTAATTCACTACGGTAAGCAATTATAAGTGTTTATATTTTAGATCTGACATGATGGTTTTTACGGGAAAATTGCGAACATGTTACTCGCCCGTGCGAATCTCATCATATCCATAAATAGAGAGAAGTTGCTCCGGCTACTTTGACGTGTGTCTGGTGTGTGAGTGTCAGAAGTTAGTCGTCACAGCGAGTGAGAAAGCTTGATGTGGAGCAGGTAAATCTCCAAACTCCGGGAATCGCCCGTTTTAAACAAACGCCGAACAGAGGAGCGTCTGCTGGTGAAAAGGCAACGCGACAGAGCTCGTAATAAAACAAGAACCAACATTGGATTGGCTTTTCAGAGATGGCGAGAACTGAGGGATCTGAAATGTTGTAGAAGCGATGCAGAGATGGTGTTTTTATTACTCAACAGGTGAGTACGGTGTTTTATTGAACAGATAAACTGCCATGTAGCTCTTTATACCATGGTCCGGGTGAATACTCGATTCTGATTGGCTGCAGGGTGTCCATTAAAAAGTGATAGAGGACACCTAGTAAAGGAGTTCTGATGAAACTGACTGTTTACCGTTCGAAATTAATAAATAAATGCCATCAGCTGTGAGTAACCATAGCAACAGGCAGTCAAAGTATCCGTTTACAAATTAATGTATCAAAACAAACATCTAGTTAGCCGTTATACATAGCCTACCTGTGCGTTTTAATTATAGGTAAAAAAAAACCGAAAGTGTAACGCCCATGACTAGACAAGCCTAACTTACATGAAAAAAAATACGTTAACTTTCTGGCTCGTAAGTTAGCTAAACTGAGGCGTTCTCCGAGCTGAGCGGACTACAAATATCTCCGGTTGCTAAATAAACCGTCAGGCGCAACCAGGGAAACCAAGTTATTGTTTGTAAAAACTTTAGATTTCGATTGTAAAACTAATTAAAATATAAACTAATGTTTTAAAAATGTGTTATTTGGCAAGTGACTATGGTATAAGCGGGTTAATGCCCTTCGAGGTGTCCATTGTCTAGGTATTAATGGACTTCGGGGGAAGGCAAACGTCCCACGCGCACGCCTCGCCGTCGTCCATTAATACCTGACAATGGACACCTCGTCGGGCATTAACCCTTACCTAGCAGAGTTCATTGTAAAGCATTAATGGGTAAAGCTACAGTAACGTCTTCAGGTAGTCAGCTTTCCTTCTAAACAGGTTATATCTCTTAAGCCTAGTAGTGAATGTTTTATTAGCAGAAGAATAATATTCATCCGCACAGTCACGCAGAGCCGAAGCACAACCAAAACAATGTTCTTCTGCAAAATGCATGTAGTTTTAATTTTTAACCACTAGAGGGCCAAATGTGACAGTGTACCTTTAGTAAAATAGTCATTAATGAAGTCAATAATAAATACATTTAAAAAATAAAATAGTATGACCACAAATAATTTGCATCTACAGAATATATTCATGCAGCTCTGGAAAGAAATGAGACCACTGCAAAATGATCAGTGTATCTGGATTTACTATTTATACAGTATGCATGTGTTTGAGTAAGATTAACCTTTTTGTTTCATTCTATAAGCTACTGATAAAATTTATTCCGAGCTTCAAATAATAATATTATCATTTATAGCATTTATTTGCAGAAAGATCAAGACCCTGTCATGGCCAACCCAATCTCCTACATTTCTGTCACTGTCGCCTCTGGCTTGCTGGCAATATTAGGGACTTGACTGCACTGACGCTATTGGATGAGAACTGAACTGAGCTGACGATGACATCACTGTTTTCTCCAGAGGTGCTTTATAGATGAATTGAACTCACTTCATAATTGATGAGTTATTGAACCAAACTGAATCAACACTGAACTGACTTCAGCTAAACAATTACACTATTGTCTTTTTAGATTTGATTTAAAGAAGAATTGAAGTTTTTTTGTGTGTCATTAAATCATAATCTTCTGATCACTGTAAAGCTCCTTTGAAACAATCTGTATTGTTTTCTTTGCATTATTTGAGGTCTGGTATCTTTTTTTTATTTTGACCAATTATTATTTTCGCAAATAAATGCTCTAAATGTCAATATTTTTATCTGAAATTGGGAATAAATGCTATCACTAGTTTATAGAATTAAACAAAAATGTTGATTTTACTAAAACACATACTTATAAACAGCAAATTCAGAGAAACCAATAATTTTGCAGCGGTCTCTTATTTTTCCCCCAGGACTCTATAAAATACAGCAGCAGAAAATACTACAAGTACTATAGCCTGTTTAATTCTAAGGATTAGTGATAGGAAATTATCTAAAAAACTAAATTATGACTGTTTTTAATGCAAGAAACATAGGCCAGAGGTTTTAAAAGGGCTCTGTCATTATAAAAGGACTTTAACAAATCAGGATATGATCTATTTAAAAACAACTATGTTTAATTTAATCGCATTTTATGATAAGATATTTACTTACATGTAGATATTCCAGCTCCAACCATACAGATAATGTTCTTGCCTGTTGACACAGACACATCAAACTTCCTGAACAACCGACTCCTCAAACAAAGCCATTTCTCAGCACCACAGTGTTTACACTGTTCAGGAAGCCAACCTTCAATTGGCTTTCTTATAGTTGTTATAATGGAATATAATAGAGTATTTTAACATTGAAAAAATGACACACTTCACACCTACCACCCTCATCTGAGAAGTCAACTCACATTTGTCACTCAGGATGTAGCGGGCGACCGCATCCAGGGTCAGCTCATCCAAGACTTTCTCTCCAGGACTCAGACCAAGAGTCCGCGAGAAGAGACTGCGCAGGAAATCCACTGAAAAACATCTAACTTTAGCCAAGATCACATGAGCTCTTTAGATGTACTTAAAGGAAAAATTCCTTGACACATACTCTCAGTGTCTCCCGAAGCTTCACCCTCGTCACTGCTGTCTTCAGACTGACCCTGCAAGAAAAAAAGAGTTAAAAATATAATTACAGAGATTACCAATCCACTCCAATAATAGAAAACAACACTCACTCTTAAAAAAATTATTAATAATATAGTAGCAGTAAGAAATAAAGTGTGAACTGTACATGGTGGATGTTTGCTAAATTTACTTGTCTCATGTTTGTCTAACATATTCATCTCCTATACATACACACACGTTTTGTGAAAGAAAAAACACTAAAAAAATATGACTGATATACTAATATATCGGCTGAAATTTGGCCTTTTTTAATTATTGGCATTGGTTGATAACGATGCCTGCTTGATTAACAGATGCATTAGTTTCATTCATGTCAGTTTCAAATTCTATTGGCAGCTTTTCAATTTCAATTTTTTAGTACATATTGTGTAAAACAAACCTTTTTATTAATTAAATTAATTATTATTATTTAATTTTTACTTTATTTTTAACCACTGAAAAAATATAGGCCAATAATAATGTTGATATTTATAATAATAATAATAATAATAATAATAATAATGTAGCACTACCATGGTAAAGTGATGGCACAAAGTGGTAATACCATGGTATTTCGATAAATAATTCAGAGCACTTCATATAATGTATTTACAAGGTCCCAAAAAAAAAGTGTTTTAGCATTTTAAAAGCCCCAAATTACATGGTATTACTGTGGTATATGGCCTTGATGAGTATGATATTTTTAGTGTCGTGTGACTGGTATAATGAACATGTATAATTAATACTAACACACACATGCATCTCTATTAAAACAACTCACGATTGTATCTTTGTTTACCTCGAGATCTGGTGTCTCAGCCTCCTCTTCTGCCCTTTTAGAAACCTCTACAGGACACAAAAATCATATCACACTGATGTGACTGTCATAATAACAAATATCAATCACACAAACAGCGAAAAACTTCCAATACACACTTAGCTTTCTCTTTTGCTAAAGGCTAACTGGATCTGACAACACCCATTTATACAAAGGCATAATCATTATTACCTTCAGACATCTATCCGCTTTCAAACAGTACTATACAATTCCAAAACACATAAAGTTAAGAGATGACAGTACTGTTTTTATTAAAGGGGCAGTTGCTTGTGTGCGTCGCTAATATTTCTTTGGATGGCTTGGCTAATGTTGATAGAAAATGTTTAATATGGCACATACTGTTGTTCCTCAAGAGGGCGCATGGAGGCTCATGGATTGCCATTTAAATCTCATGCCGGTTTTTATATTTTTGTATTTTTATATTTTATATTTTATATTTTTATATTAGCTAAAAGTACGATAATTTAAATGCATTAATGTAAAGGATTTGGTACCGGACAAATGAAAATCCGCCCTTGTAATGGATATAAAACTAAAACACGGATCCAGCGATTACAAACGACTAGTGTGATTGGTCCTTCCTGACAGTGAAGAGAAAAGTAACACGCATCACATGACATGCCATCTACGCTTCTCATAAGTGTCGATCATTTATAAATCATTTACACCTGTATAATGAAACTGAAAATGTATAGCTATTTAATTTTTATTTATTTATCCCATCTGATCTGACCAATTAGAGACAGCTTTTGGACCTCGCGTGCACACCCAGTTCGATCGGCTATCGTGAAAATTACCATTATTTACAATTCTATATTATTTCTACATAATAGTTATCTGCAATTTATTGATCAGATCTTCCGGGTGGAAACTAATGATTTGTTCTTATATTATATTTGTTCAAAACATTTGTTTCAATGACAATGTAGTTGTTATAAACAGTAAAGTCAACTTTTAAGTCTAATATTTCTCTTTTTTGATTGAAAGTCGCTATTGTTTAAATATTTACATGAAAGAAAAACATTACCTATAGCGAGATTTCTTCATCCACCTTTCCATTGCTTGTGCCTCAGTCTTTCTAACACTTAGATCTAATATCCTCACACCTCCATAAAAAGGATTACAGGATTTACTCCACCTGACTTAGACTCAACACCTTTATGGATGGTACCATAGTATTACCATGTACCACCACAGTGCTGTATCATAAAGGAAAGTGGTAGCACTTTATTTTACAGTTTTGCATGTACATACCATGTACTTGTTGACTAACTGCGTCCTAACCTTATCCCATAGCTACCTTACATTGCTCAGTGGTTTTGTGGTAAGTAGACTGTAAGTAAAGTGCAAGTGGGAAATCAGCGATTTATATGGAATAAATAATAACAAGTTCTCAACATTTACACATAAAACTTTATTGTGTCTGTCTCAAAAGTACAATGTATTTTACAACAGTTATATATAAGTACACAGAACATACATGGGTGCAACACAGTAACTCAGCCATGTAGTTTATATATGTCTGACTGCAGTGTTTGCGGACGCTTCATGATCCTCCTCTGTTGGCTCTCGGGTGTCTGGCTGGATCAGGCCCTGCTCGTATTCAGCTCCAGTGACCCGACAGTGCGGCAGCATCTCCTCCAGCAGGATCCGGACCAGGCCTGGACTCTGAAGCCGGGCAAGTCCCGAAATATCCAGACGCTGTAGCTTTCTGTGGGGTAAAGGCAGAGGGGGGGAATAACACAATAAATGATTCAAATGATTCAAATAACAAAGAAAATAAGGTTTAAAAAAACATACAGGGTATGATTTGGTTATTTGTTGTCCTAAAAAAAAAAAAGGGACACATGTCAGACTGAAATATTAACCAAAGGACTACTAAAACAGTATTTTCGGGCATAAGTCAGATTAATTAAATCACCTGAGGTTTTGTAATGCAGCGAGACCTCCTACAGTGACACAAGGGCAGTGGGACACGTCCAACTCCAGCAGACTTTCTCCAAAGACATGAAGACGTGCAAGAAACCAGTCGTCCACTTCAGGACATCCTCGCACAGAGAGACTCTGGAGTTTATTCTGCTTTACTGAGAAGAGACAATTAGTTTGAGTGAGCCAGAGAACAAAAATACACCACAACCATATGTTTTACTGGCAGCTGAACACTTCAGAATCTTCATGTTATGTTCCCATTTTATTCAGGAAGGGATTTTCTGTTGGCTACGTCTATACTGTTCAACGTCAATCATGACAACTCCTAGAACAGATGTAAACAGCGTTTATTGATAAGAATGGAAAGCACATTGGCTTAAGGCCCATTCACACCAAGAACAGAAACCATATTAGCTGCTGCTTTGCCGTCTGAATCTCGAAACATAATTTGGCTTCAAAATAAGGAAGGATTTCATACTTGACTAGTCAAAGGCTGAGACATCAGGAGAAGTTGATTACCAAGGTTGTCGAGTCCATTGTGGTTTATTATGGTGCCACTCAGATCCACTTCCTCTATTTGTGCGTCAGGTGTGTTCATGAAGTCATAGCTGAATCTTCCTCTCGAGTCTGGACGAAACCATTCAGACTGGCCTGCAAATCTAGAGAGACACAAGGCTTGCTGGATGGCTTCATAAACGTTCTATGATCAATGACATATAAAAGTGTCCAAAAATATATTTAATATCAAGTTTAAAAAAAAGCTAAGTTCTTTTATATGTACTTACTGCATTTATGTTGGTTTCATATTGTTATATTTCATATACAAACTTGTATACCATTCATTTCAATACCATTATTATTTTAAAGGAATAGTTCACTTCAAAATGAAAAGTGAACTATCCCTTTAAGGACTTCCTGTCCATGACACACATTCTGCAGGTCTTCTCTATGATCTCATTTCCTGCCTTCTTCCCTGCACCACATGATTTTGATTGGGCAGACAAATAGTAATTAAGCAGTTTTGTTTGAAATAATTATGAAATATTAAGTCAAACTAGTCAAGGATTTAATTTCAAGGGTAACACTTTACAATAAGGTCTCATTTGTTAACATAAGTTAATACATGAACTAACATAAACTAACAATGATTTTATTTAATGAACAACATAATTTATTAACCTTTGTTAATGTTGGTTTAAAAAATAAATGTCATGTTCATGTTAGTTCATTAGATTGGCATGAAAGCTAGAAGGTTTTGGCACTTGCTATGTGTGAACAAAAAAATTATTCAAAAAGGTTAAATGAAAAAGAGAGTCACACTTGTACAAAAATGACCGCATTGGAAATTAATGGGAAGCGAATTTCATCAAGTGGAAACGTTTGTTTGGTACAAACAAAATCTTACTGAAAGCTCATTCTCACATATAAAACTCAATTTTGGAAGACAACTTGTTTAAATCCATGGCTTGTTATACATTTTTGTTTTTTTTTAAAAGCTTTTTTCACTGCTAAGTGTCTTCTTTAAAAAGAGACCCAACTTAAGTCTGTGCTCCGAAGCATCCAAGATTTACCACAGTTTAAGTTGGACATCTCATTTTCAGGCCTATGCTCAAAAAGTTAATAAATGGATTATAACTACGGTATAAATATAATTTAGTACCATAAAAATAAAAAATAAATAAAAAAATTTACTATCATAAAAAACCGTAATTTTAATGTAGTTTTTAATTGATTAACAGACATTAAAAAAATAAGATATAAAAAAGGGGCATCACATCATGGACTCTTACCTGAAGCTCCCTCTGAGAGTCAGAATATAATAGGCCGCTCCTACATTATCACCAAAATTCTGCTGTGCATAACCAAAAAACCTACAGAAAAAAGACCTTAAAGTCAAAATTTCAGCAGAAATAAATAAAAAATGATTTGTTTATAGAGACGCTATACAGCCACTATGGTCTTCTTTTACAGTGAAATATTCTATTGGGCAATAAGACAACATAAACAACACATCTGAGCACACACACACACACACTGGCACTTACGTATTCTTGCTTCGGACCAATTTCGTCCTTGCCCAGTCATTCCAACCTACAATGTGCTCCACATCATAGAAGTAGCGACTGAGTTTTAATAAGAGCCTGGTGAAGACGGATGGAGGAGCAGCTGAACTCAAACCCCTCCTGACAGCAACAGCAGCAGCCGCACACGTGTGTGCTGAACATCTCCGCATGCCATGGGACTTATATACAGAGACAATATATGAGACAGAAAGATCATTTACAACATGATGCTACTAAGAAGATGAACACGTTTCAGATTAAAAAGCATTCCAGCTAACAACAAATTATTCTTGATGAAACTTAGACTAATAATATATAGAATGTGAAACTGTAGCATGAATTTAGCCCTCACAAAAGTACTTCATGGATGATAGATCTGTACGGTACGGTGATATATAATGCAAGTTCCAGGACATGTATAAAGGTTACCAATTATAATTCTGAACAATCAGCCTTCTTTCAATTCATGAGCTGGAACATGAGATGAATTAATTTCTATAGCTGGCATTTCAAACATTGAATATTACCAGCATATAATATTTCTGAAAATACCCCATATGTGGTGCTGGATTAATATGTTTATGCGTAAGTTAATTAATACTGAAAATGACATTAAATATGAATATTGAAGCAGTTTCTTAAATAGCCTATTTATTTTAAATTCTACGTTCATAAATTAAAATTATGTAATTCTGCTTCAGGAATTGATTTAATTCCTGAATTTGAATCGAATAAATTAATTCCTTGACATTACACTTTAGGTAGCTACTTCATAACACCATGGTACCAGGTACAAAACAACAGCAAAACATTACATTACCATGGTATAAACATGGTAACATGGTGCATTTTGCTAGTTCTTTGGTAGTATAGAACTATGCACAAGTGTCTCGATTATAAAATGAACCAAATTGTAATGTAACACTTTGGCGTTGGTGTTGGTGGTGTTGTGGAGAGAAATACAACAGCAACAATTTCCTCAATAACGAAATGTATGCTCGCAGGGCAGTAAGAACTCACCAGCAAGGAGGCCGCCATGTTTGTTTTGTTCTTCTGTCATTTCAGAGATTTGACATTAGGAGGCGCGATCTCAGCGAACCCAATGAACTAATGTCTACATACTTTTTAACCGAGTTTGGATTAGTTTTATAATGTAGACATTTTATTGGCTTATTTGTATAATAAAAAAGAACAGTAGTAACTTAGTTAATTGTCTCATGTATATATCAGTGGTGTGTGTAAGTTTGCACTTACATGTTTTGACCAGCAGATGTCGCCACCGTGTAGTATTGTGAGCTAAGTGAATAATTTCGATTGG